TTTTTTTTTTTTTTCGACAATTGAAAATAGCCTTTCAATGACTTTGGTACTTTTTTCTTAACTCGAAGAAGTAAAATACATATTAAAAAAAAAAAAAAAACTTATCTAAATTGGGTATTTGCTGAGAAAATTTTTATTTAACTTAATTCAATTGCATTGTATTATTACAAAAAAATATATTTTTCTCAGCGAAGGCGATACCTTTTGAAAACCAATGCTAATGATTTTCAAAAATCAAGCAGAAGCCAAAACATTTTTTAGCTAAAAACTAAAAGTATTTTTTCTTTTAAGTATTTGGTGTGGAATTTTTTAGTTTAATAAATCATTGATTTTTGACAAAAATTGTTACAAATTTTTTTTAGCATTTTTTTTTTAATAAACTCTGAAAGCTCAGCTGTGCTATTCAAATTTTAGTTTTAGTTTTCTATTCGTTGTTTATTTCCGTATATAAGTGTACATCTGTATATAATATATTTAGTTTTCACTTCACTTCAACAAATACATATCGTACATATTTTTCATCACAAAGTAATTTCATTCGCGTAATTTTCCGTTTTCACGTTCCACACAAGACAGTACTGGCAGCGGCAACGGCATAAAATAAACTGACTAAATTATCCTGAAGAAAATTTCCGACGTTTGTTATTTTTGGAAACGCATAAAATATATTATCAACGTTTTGATGTGCGCACAGTGGCGTTGAAAATTATTGCAGCACCGAACATACATATGTTGCAGCTGCATTCGTATGTTGTATGTATGTATCAAAAAAATTGTATTTTTCACACGCAGCGCAAGCGACAAAAAAAAATATTTGTTTCTTGTTTGAAAACTTTTTTACTTTTTCTTACACATTTAAGTAAAATTCGACCGCGCTGGAGGCATACTTTTTGCACATAGTGTATGTCGTATTCTCCACAAAAAAAAAATAAGCAGAGAAAAAATATCTTAAAATTTTCGAAAATTTCTCAAACGTAAAAATAGTGCGATCATTGCTATTTTCGTCATGTAGGTATGTGCTATTAAATCGCGCGCGGTGGCTGTTTCGCTTTGTCGCTGCTCGCCAAAAAGGTGCCGAGAGGAAACAAACACTGTGTGCTTCCGCACATACTTTTGCGCACTCAGGTGTATACACAGGCTAGCTCACTAGGCACAGAGGTAAAAATTCATTAATTGCATTTGAATTTCACAAGTGTACACACACATGTACATATGTACATATAGGTGTATTTTCTATGAAAATGATTAAATAATAATATTTTTTTTTTGTTTTTAATATGTAGCGCGTTTATTTATTTGACACATTTGTACGCTAGGAATTTTTCACAACGTCTCGAGCGCGTTTTTTATAATGCACTAGAAACAATAAATATTTCTTAACATTTTCGCATGATTTTGTATGACATTTTTATTAAATTTTTTAACTCTTCATTTTTTATTTACTTATAGAATCCTTATTTTCCGGTAACCAACGCCGCCAAACACTATAAATTTACAAGCGATCAATTCCGCCTCCGAGTGTGTACTAACTCAGCTAAAGGCAAAAATTGTTGCAGGAAGCGGACTAAAGCTGCTTGGCTAGCAATATATGCACATACATACATATCGCACACCATCTGCAAAAGAGGCACAACTCAAAATTTGACATTTTTTGAAATTATGCGCTAAAATTGTACACAGAGCTTTTATTTACCTTTCAGCAAAAGCTGGAGCAAATTTTTATTATAATTTGTTGAAAAAAAAAAAACCTAAGCTAAAGTCTCCCAGGCCCATATGATTATCATGTGCTAAGAAATAGTTTTTCGCATTTTCTGAAAATAGTGTAATTTTGAGTTGTGTCATTTTGAAGACGGTGTGCGATATGTGCAATTACGGTGTTCCAAAAATACATGTGGAAAAGTAAAGTCCGAATTTTTATACTCTCACCCCCAGGAGAGAAAAAATGTACCCCTTTAGAATTCTTGAATATCAAAATATTTCCATCGGAAAGCTCTGTTTCTCTTCAGGACATTCCCAATAATAATACTCAATTATTTATTTAACCAGTTTTTCATAGTAACTATATTTTATAGGTCAGCCAAGCCCTGCCAGAAAATCTTTAGTATTAAAAAATGGTTATACAAGCAATTGGGTATTGTTATTAGAAGTCTCCTGAAGAGAACCAGAGTTTTCCGAACGAAAAAATATTGATTTTCAAAAATTCTATACCATTTCTACGAAAATAGAAATAAATATTTTTTTGATTTCAAAATATAGATTTTTTTTTCGATATAGAACATTCCTAAGGGGTAAGGGCATTGAAGTTCCGACTTAACTTATTTTGGACCACCCTAATGTGCATACACACATTTATTCATGAATATGTACAGTTGTTTATTAGACTGCCTCACGCTCAAAACAAAGCGAATTATAAAATTTAGTAAGTTTTAAAACTGAATTGAATTAAAATTAAAAAAAAAAAAGTTTTTTTTTCATTTTAAGCGAAAATACTCCTGCTTTGGAATTATTTGATTTCACGTGAGAATGTTTGTATTTTCTGTCGCCCATTTTCATTCGGAGAATAATAGTTAAAAGCAAAAACAAAATACAAGTAGTTATTGTATTAGCAGAATTCGCCTTGATTACAATTTAACGGCCAAAAATTTATGTAAAAATAATGTTTTTTAAAAGCTTTTGATCGTCAGACAAGGGATATATTTTTTTATTTTTTTATTTATTTTTAAACCATAAAAACTCTCCGTAAAGAAACAGAATAAAAAAACAAACAGATAGCAAAACCAAATAAAAAAATATATGCTACCTTAAAAAACCAAACTCAAAATTAAATATCTAGTGCGCTTCAGCCACACAACTGAAATTAAACTTCCTTCGCTTCATTCCTGCTCTAAGAAAAAAAATGATTTTTTCAAATTGCTTTTTTTGGTTCTACCAAAAAATTTTTAAAAGAAAAAGTATTTCAAATTAAATATGTTTTTAATGTCAAACAATTTTGTTTAAATACTTTTAGGAAATTTCCATAATTCAAACTGAGCAGTTGAAAACATATTTACATACTTTGGATGTAGCTGAGTGTGCAGAGGTACTTGCTAATTATTTGTTAGCCTCCAGACGCAACATGTTAAAATTATTATATAAATTTTTGTTTTGTGTTTCCGCGCTATGAAAAAGCATCAGTGAAGTGCATAACGAAAGCGTATTCAATCGAAAAAATCGCCAAATAAAAATCTGTTTAAAGTAAACAAAATATCGCATGGTGCCAAATCATTTGTTTTAGCTTCATCCTTAGTCTTCGTATACGTATTATATTTCATAATCCCCTTATTGTTCGTCTTCGTATTCATATTGGTCTTCGGCTACCTGCTTTTTTTCGTCTCGTCTTCATATTCTTGTTCGTATTGGTCTTCGTGTTCGCGTACATCTTCGTATTCGTCTTGACCTTCGTTTTCGTATTCGTCTGAGTATTTGACTTCTTATTCGTTTTCATATACGTCACCGTCCCCGTCTTCGTATTTGTATTCATTTTCATATTCATTTGTATTTGTATTTGTATTTGTATTCGTATTCATATTCGTCATCGTATTCATCGTCAATAAATTCGCATTCGCGTTCATCTTCGTATTCGTACTCGACTTCGTATACTTTTTTTCTTCAAATTCCTTTTCTTCTACGTATTTGGTTTCGTATTCGTCTTGTTACTCGCCTTCGTCGTAGTCGTCGTCGTTGTCGCCGTCTTCGTATTCGTATTCGTATTCGCTTTCATGTCAGATACCTAAAGTTTTAAAATCTTTTTACCACCAAAGGCATCTACTAAAAAATTTTACACCTAACGACAAAAAATACGTTACGCGAATGACATCGAATTGCGAAGAACTATTTTTGTGGGACCAAACAACAAATTTTATGGTTCGCTTACCTTACGCGGTATTTTTTTTTTTTTGGTAGGCACCCTAATGTATGTACTTAAGTGTATGTATAGGTGGAGAAGAGCATTTATTTTGCATTTAAATCTGAGCTAATGTACGAATTTATGAACAATTGATGCACGCACGTTGGGTGCTAGCTACAATCGAAAGAGTAGAGAGAGTGTGAATAAGGTGGTGAGAAAATTTCGATGAAGACCTTTTATGGAATTGTGGGACTAATAAAGGCAAACATGAACTAGTGAATAAAAATCAGGTTGATAAAAAAAATTGTTTTCATCCTAACTTTGCGTCTCCACTGGCAAAAATTATTGCCTGATATGCGTTGGCATTTTTTATCTTGATAAAAGCATTTGTAAGATGGCATGTAACAGGTACACATCAAAGTAAGTCACGTAGTTTGCGCACTAATGAAAATGTAGCTGTCAAACTGGCGGCAATATTTAAGTATTATATTCATATTTTTTTTTAAGTTTAAGTGTTGGCCGATTGCACATTTCTAAAACACTCTCCAAACTTACCGCTTTGTTCTTCAGTAGATCGCTGTCGTCATCGTCATCTGCGTATGAAGTTTTAGTAATCGTAGTAGTTGTTGTTTGTTTCGTTGTCGGCAAAACGCTTTCCACACCTCTCATTATGACACTAGCACCTAAAAATTTATTCAGCAATGAACGCGCCTCCCTATCCTCAGCAGTATCGCCAGCTTCCACCACTGCAGTGACGAAATCACAATTAGCTTTCTTTCAAGCACGAATATGTATTTCTTTTCAAAAACTCACCATAGTCCGCGTTACGCATACGCTCCAGCGCATCGTCTACGCTTGTTACCACTTTAGTTTCACCGCTGCTGTTCAGGAAGGAGCGCGTGGACTTGGTCGACGAACGTGTACTCAAATGGCATTGATCGCTTTCGTTGTCTTCGCCCTCGGTGAAAATGCGTCGCGATTGCTTTTGACGAAGCTGCACATTGTGTTCATCGTCCGAGTCTGCTTCCGTCGAACGATAGCCATGACCGCTGCGTGATGTGCTGGTGTATTTTTCCGTAGTAGTTTCGTATGCATCTAAAAGAAAAAATATCAATACTCAAATTAGAAGGAGCTCATCGCGCGAAAGTTTCACATTTTCATTTACCTCCACTGGGGTCTGTTGAAGGTGCACGACTGGTGCGCAATATCAATCCGGCTTTTGGATAGCCACCCGACTTTTCTGTTGTCGATTGCGCAGACTCTTTCCGTACGAATTTCTCACTCAGCTCTTTCACAGAACCACGGCGCACATATTTGCTGGACGTGGTGAAGTCTTCTGAATCTGGCTGTATTGCCTCTGGTGTTTCAAAAACCTTACGAGTATTCGATACGTAAAAATAGTGAATAATGCAATGTGAAAAAGTCGTATAATCAACTTACATAGTCCTTATCGATTTTCTCGAATTTCCTGATAACATCCACATCATTTTGCGATGATTTTCGACTCTGCTCAACAGTTTTTTTGATTTCCTCGAGTTCATCTGCGTTTGTCGAATAAATGTATTCCTTCCTTTCGACTTTCGGCTTTGTTTTGTTATCAGAATAATATTTCTCCTCGATAACATAGCCTGTGACTTCTACGCAAATTAAAAAAAAAATATTAATAATAATAATTCAAAATTATTTATTTACTACCCACCAGCTTCCCACTTACCTTCGGTTGCTTCACAGGGTTGGCTTGGTTTCTTCTTTTTTAGCGCCTTTATACCGAATAACGGCAAACCATTTTCGTCTGTCGGCCCAATGCCATAACTCGAAGTGATCGAATCCTCTTCGAAGTTTCTGTTCTGAGCTTGTCGTTGACTCGTTGTCTTTGTTGTAGCCTTCGTTGCGGTAGTGCGCGCGGACGGCGCAGCTGGCAACTTACGCGGCGTACGCGGTGTGCTACTAGGACTCTTGAGCAAATTTTTACGGTCTACCCAAATAGGTGCATTTTCTTCAACGGTCGGTTTACTTGATTTTCGTTCTGGTGAGCGTGTGGTTTTAACTGTCGTTACTTTCGAGATCGTGTACAATTCGTCACGTTGTTTGGGTGTTCTGCCTTGTGGACTTGGCGAGCGTGGGAAGGATGGTTTTCTGGCCTCAGGACTCTTCGTACGTGTGCCAGCTGCAGGTTTGGTTTTATAATCAGGACTTTGTTTGCCGTCCCTTGCAGGACTTTTAGATTCAGGACTATAACTGCGCTCGCGGCTCTCCTCTTTCTCGAAACGTTCCGAACGAGAGCTATTAAATGTCTCTTCAGAGAAGTTTCTCTGCTCGCTTCTTATAAACTCTTTATGTGTGGAAGACATCGATGAATCTGCTCTATGACGTACCCCTTTTACGGATCCTTGGGGCGACTTAGTTTCGGGACTTGGTTGTCGTTCATGGTTTGTTTTCGTAGGACGTTTAGGGCTTTCGCTGCGACCGTTCTGTATTTTAGCATTAGTTGTAGTCTTTGTGGTAACTTCTTCTTCTCGACGAAATTTGCCATATGGTTTCGGACTTTCATTGCGATCGTATGGAGATTTTCTTGGTATATCTTCGATTTCCGATACTCGGCCACTCTTTGTTGTCGGTGTTGGGCGTTTTGGGCTGGGCTTACTCTCGTATGGCCTCTTCGTTTTCAAATCCTCATGAATTGTGTCAGTTTCTTCGTGATGTACATTTGATGTGTAAGTAGATGTTTTATGAGTTGAGCTAATGGACTTAGATGTTTTAGTTTCGGTTTTCCTTTTGTCAACCACTTCAGTATTGAGTATGTTTTTCTTAACCAAACGTATTTGTGCCCGGATCCGGCGTCGCAGCTCATATGAAGTTACTGTCTCTAATAGACGCTCCAATACTTCTAATTCGAAAATACTTTCGACATCGATGTCTTCGGAAATACTCGCTGTACGTTGGGGCTTTTGAGGCACATCAAACTTCACAGCAGCATTTGGTCGTCGTTCGTAATTGCTTTCTGATTCGAACGAGGACTTGCGTGAGTAATTGTGTTTATTTACTTCTAGGGAATCACGGCGAATGTGTTCCAAAGAGCTGACTGTGTGATCCATATAAGAGGGTCGCCGACCAACGGGTGACGGTGAACCGTCGCTTCCGCTAGGCCTTTGTACCTTCGGTGTAGCGTTGCTTTCGAAAATATTACGTCGAGCAGCCACCGTATCGGCTGCTATACGAGTGCGACCAATTGTGGGCGTAGAAGTTGGAGTTTTGACTTGTGTGGGGCGTTCTGGAACGGTTTCAACGATTTCTATGTCAGAACAATCTGAGGGTGAACTGTGCTCAATTGTGCGTTCGGTTACTTGGGCAACTTTAGTGATGGTGCTTCTTGTATCTTTTTGGGTAGGACTGTGTGAGAAAGTTTGGGGTTTTTGTTTTTCCTGTGAGGGAATCTTTCGCATGGGTTCTTTTTGTGTCGGAGAAAACCTTTCGATTTCAGTTTGTACGGTTTCCAAGTAATCTTTTGTCTTTGAAGAGCTTCTGCGACGTGTTGTTGATGCAAACTCTGTTTCGGATTCAATAGTTTCATAGTCATGAACATTAGATAGAGATCCAGCAGATGGTTTACGTTCTGGATAATGGCTATCAGGCTCCGTGGATTGTTTACGTGGCCCTGAGTTCGGTTCATTCAATGGCTTATGCCTGTTTGAATAAGGATACTTCGTGTATGCTGTCGTTGATGGCAGTCGGGCAGTTGTTGAAGGCACAGGTGCCTTCGGATCAGTGCCTGGTTTACGCCCAGTGGTACTTGAAAGCGGAACTCTATTAACTTTTGGTTCTATAGTGGTTTTGGATGTCGGTTTTTTCTTATCAGAAGTTTCAAAACGAGACCTGGTCACAGCAACTGTGGAAGTTTGAGGTTTTGTGGGACTTTTATAATTTTCAGGTTTAGTTGCCGAATGCGAAGGTTTACGTTCTACGCTCTTGGACTCAATTTTTTCATTATCTTGCAAGTTAATTTTCTTTGTAGTGTACACTGTTTGCTTTGCATTGGTCGTTATTGGATGCTGTGGCCTACAAGAGCCTACAGGCTCTCTCTTGCTAGGCGATTGTGGTCTAGGTTTAACGTTCTTATCGTAAATTGAGGGCCTGGATAAAATGTCCTTCTGACGTTTTAATTCAATTTTCGTTGTATGATCCCTTGTGTGCGGAATTACTTCATCACTTTCGGGCCCAGCAGCGGTTCTGTCAATAAATACTTCCTCTTCTACGTACTCGACATTTCGGTTGCCTTTTGTGGTGCTTTCAAATACTGTTGGCCGAGCGAGTATATCTTTCTGGCGTCGTTTCTCAATTTCGATAGTGTGATTTTGAGAAAATGGCGTTAATTCTTCATCACTAAGATCTTCGGGATACTCGGGCTCGCTTTGTTTCGAAATAGTTCGTTCAATTTTCGCCACTAATTCGGGTGACCTTTGTGGAACAGTGGGTGCCAGTTTTTCTGCGGTGCTTAAGAATTTATTTACTTTTTGTGAGACAGTCAAAGTGCAGTCATCCTTCTGTAATTCTTCATCCAAGTCGGTGAGGCTTGGTCGCTCAATCTCCCTTACTGTTGTGATTGGCTTCACCACCTCTTCTGCTGTCTTTATGAACTTGTTAACCTTTTCATCAACTGTCAACAAACAGTCATCGTTATCTGGCACCTTAGGCGTTTTATCGAATTCTCTGCTGAATGGACTGGACGCTTTTGGTTTTTTAATTTCTTCAGCTGTATGTGTAAACTTGGAAACCTTTTCGTGAACACTCAAAAGGCAATCATCATCAGGTCTATCGATGGATGGGTATTCAAGACTTTGAGGAGCTTCGATTGTGGGATTATCTAATATATCATCTTCTTCCAGGTCTATCAGTTTCGAAATCTTTTCCGTTTTCACCTCCGATATGTGGCAGTTAATGAATTCATTGGATTCTTCTTCTAAAATCGGTATGTTTTTGATGACAGGTTTTTTTCGTGGCTCATCCTCAGGCTCTTGAACGACATCTGGGTAACGTGGCTTGCCAGTATTTATATGTACCGGTACTGGTGTTGGCACAATTTTGTCTGGTGATGGCTCCCGAGAACTCTTCGCATGCTGTATATCAATGATGACGTTTTCCATATCTTCACTGTTGATTAGCTTGTCAGTCGTGGTTAAATTTATGGTTTTTGTGGTAAAATATTTATTAGGTCTTCGATCAGTTTTCGGTGTTGGACTGTGTGCTGTTGCGTCTACCTCTGTTCTCTTCACTGGTTTCTCAGTAACCTTCATGACTTTCTCGCTGGTTGAGCGAGTCATCTTTACGTCCTTGTCCTTGCGCGACACACTGGGCACGGGAGCAGACTCCTTTCGCTCAGTGACGGGGAATCTTCGGAACGGTTTAGTCGGTGAAATTATATCTTCCGGAACGGTTTTCTTGGGCTGGGACTTGTGTTTCTCTGGCGTCTTTTCGGTGGGCTTAGGCGATTTCGGACCCGTGTGATCAATAATGATTTCTGTGTGCACCGAAATGTTACTCGAACGTCTTCGCTCTGTAAGACGAGTTGGACTCATTTCGGGTGAAGAGTCGGACTCCGTGATAGAAGGTTTCTTATTTCGGGTTGAAGAACGTAGCCGATCTTTAATTGGTGAATTCGGAGACTCATTGTTTGGCTTTTTATGTGGCTTATCGGCAGTTGTAGGTGTATCTATTTTCTGAACACGTTCGGGCCGCGTCTTTGATGGTGATATTGGCTTATCTTTTTTAACAATATCACGTTTCTCCGGATATTCAGGCGATTTAGAGTTTGACGTAGTGTTGGTAACAGTTCTGGTAGTTGACGTGTTCGACTCGCGTGTTTTAGGCTTCGACTCAACAGTTACTTTTGTTGTAACTGTAGACGGTCTTGAAGGGGATTGCTTCAAAGGCGACTTTTTACCACCAGTTGCAGGTTCAGATGTCTTCCTAGTCGGACTAGTATTTGGAGATGTAGTTTTTTGACCAGGCAGCTTTCTATTGGGTTTCAACGGTTGCTTCTTTTCTGTGCGTTCTTCGATTTGGAATTCTTCGATATATTGCATCTCTCTCTCTGATACAACAGTATCTGGCTGAGATTCTTCATCCGTTTCCTTTTCAGGAGACTCCGATTCACTCGTTGAAGACTCCTCTCGCTCTTCATATTCAATCTTCCCCCCTTTGGTTACTTTCTTTACAATCTTCGATGTTCTCTTATTGGTAATACACTCATCTTCAACCGATATGTCTTTCTTAACCAGCAGTGTTGATTTACGTGTAGCTTCAGTAGGGACTTTCCTTTCCGGAGAACTGTCTTTAAAGGGTACTACCGTCTCTTTGCGAATACACTCAACTTCCTCAACAAGTTCCTCATTGTAAACATCATTGGGTTTGTTAGTTTTGGGCTTATCAAGCGGTTTAAGGGCCTCTTTGATGTTGTTTAAATAATTGGGCTCATCGTCATCACAATCCTCAATTTTAACTTCGAACTTTGTGATATTTTCGGTAAGTGGCGCTTTTTCATCAGACTCATCTTCTGGTTTTTTATTGTAACTGCCTGGGGTGTCACCATAATTTTCCATTCCAAGAATTTGACGACAACGATCCTCAAATGTTTCTCTGGGGCTAACGCCCTTTTTCTTAAAGCTTGGGGAGACAGGTTCCGGTTCAGGTGCTTTGGAGAAGAATGCTCCATCTGGAGTCTCCTTAGCTTGACTTTCAATTGCAATAAATTCTTCGTTATAATTAGTATTGATGTTTGTAGTTTTATTGGTTGTTTTGAAGAGTTCCTCGACTCGCTTAGTTTCATCTAAAGTAGATTTTCTATCGACCGGTTCATCAATGGGTTCATCTGGCTGCCGATTGTTATCCGTACGTGGTTTCCCTTCAACAATATTAGTGGTCCTGGTGGTAATAGTTTTTACAGTTATCTGCTCATTTGGTTTTCTTGTAGGACTGCGATCAGCTTCAGGTTTCCTTGGCGCTCCTTTTCCTACAACCGGCTTTGATGGCTCCCTGTTTTTCGGTTCACTACGCGTAGTCTTTTCGACATCTACGGATTTCAATATAACATCTTTTTTAGTAGTAGTCGTTTCGAATGTTATCTGATCGTCGTCGTCACTCAAGATTGCATCTATTGGTTGTCGCTTTATTGGCTTTTCACGCTCTGGTTCGCTCCTTTCCCCAATTTTAGGTTCATCTTGTTCGCGGAGTTTCTCCGGAACTATGGGTGTATGTTGCTTAAAAGATATTGAATTATTAGTATCAGTAATCACTTGATGAACACTACCGTCGATTTTTGTATTTTTAATGAGTGGTTTTGATTTTGGTTCATTGTCATCAATTTCGCTTGGTTTCCGCTCTTCATAATTAATGTTTATAGTTTCTTCATAGATTTTTGTGTTCGTTGCTACAGTTTCCTCAGTTGGCTTTTGCTTGTCGGTAGTTTTAGACGGTCCGATTGGTTTTTTAGTGGTAGGCTTGCAATAATCTGGACTATTAGGCGCTAACCCGCTTGAATCGTTTGTAGGTATATTATTAACCGGAAATTTGTCTTTCACCTGCCGTTCGATTGTTATGAATTCCTCGTTAACATTGTTTGTTATTTTGGTCCGATCGGTTTTATTGAAAAGTTCTTCAACTCGTCTAGTTTCATCGGTCACTATAGGATTTGCCGATTTAGGTTCATCTAAGCGTACCGTTTTTATTGTAGTTGTCGTGAAAATACGGTCTTGATCCTCATCGTCAGAAATGTCTACAGGCTTGCTAGCGCTTAATATTGGTTTTCTAGCTGGGCCTTTCTGTGTTGGGCTGTGTTCATCATCGCTTGGTTCAGACTCATTATCAACTGTAGGTGCTGGTCTTGTATACTCTGGCGAGGTATGTGTAACGCCAAAATTTGCTGGTTTTGTTAGTTTAGCACCTTTTGGTTGTTTTGTTGGCTCATCTTTCGTGGGCTTTTTCTGCACGGGTTCAGTGGTTTTGATATCTTCAGGCTTTCTAGTTGGCGAAACATTGCTCTTGCGAGTTTTTACAGTGTCAACTGTAATCTTACTGGTGTAGAAGTTGCTTTTGTCTGAGGTGGTCCTGGTCGGGCTATGATCATTTCTAACATAATCTTTTTCTAAAGGCCTTTTTTCAATCGGTTTCTTTTTGTCAACTGTTTTCTCGTTCGCCGGTCTTACAAGCTCGGGCTTTTCAGATTGATCGTCAATCTCTATGGAATATGTTTCTCCGTTGCGTTCGCTTTTTATTGTAGTATTAAAAGTTTCGCTTTCTATTATTTTTCTAGTGGAACTAGTTTCAGGCCTCCTGTCTGTTGGTTGTTTGTTATCGATTGGGGTTTTTTTATTCCGGTTTCCATACGCAGGCTCATTCGGTCGATTTGAGTCATCAGTTGGCTGTGGTTTTTGTCTATGAGTCGATTTCGAAGTTATATTTGAGTCAGATGGTTTTCTTGTCGGTTTCCGATCATCCTCAATGTGTTGAGTATTTTCTTTTCGTGTTGTCTTAGATGTTGTGGATGTGGTTTTCGAGTTTGTAACATCGGAAGTTCGCCTTGTCGGACTAGTAGGCATATTTGTAGGTTTCCTTTCAGTTGGCGCTTTTTCTTCAGGCTGTGCTCCGTGTTTCTCGAACGGCTTTCTATTTAAAGGTTCATTTGGTTTTTTACC